CATTCCAAGCTTCCTCACACACTCTTTCGCGTAGCGCGCCGATGGAGTGATCGGCGCGAAGTTCCTCTCGATTGGTGAGCCATAACTGGAAGTTGCTACCATCCTCGAGCATCCGATTCCAACGTTGGATGAAGGCGCACCAAGAACGTTGTAGAGCTTCATGCTCGATTCCATCAAGACCTTTCCCGCGCAGTTTTCGAAATCGGCGGAAGTATTCCCGCATCATGTCCAGTGAGTCCGGAGCGTGAGCTCCGGACAAGTCGTACAGCGACCAAGGTATGAGCTGCCGCGCCATGATGCTGGTGGATGCATTCCCGCTGATGTATCTTGGGCGTCCTGCTGGATTGGGTGTTGGGTCTCCAGACATTGCTTGTTCGTTTGTAAGCAAAGGGTTTTCGACAGTTGAGCACTCACGGTTGGTGAGTGCTGTCATGAGAAGGGGGTGATGTAATGGGCTACATTACACATATAGCATTAACACAAATAAACAATTACATATGTAGGCAGGTGCTGGGCCCGAATAGCGGGCACAGCGTGGTAATTTATTATTGGTTCATTATTGGGCCTAAAGTCCCCAATATGGACCAATGATAAATCAACCTGAAATTGTGTGGTTCCCGAAAGGCGGGAACACTGTCGTATTTATTACGACTAAAATCTTCGTAATTAGTACGAATTAAAACCAAAATAAAAATCAGAGTTAAATTTACTTAATACCTAATACTTGGGCTTGAGTCTTCCTCAAGCGCACGTGTAAGCTAGTGACGGTACGTTCTAGCCCCGTTACACTATTACGCACTTTTGCAAGTTCACGTATAATTGGGCGTCACCCAGAGTCTGCAACACAGCGTCCAAATGACGCTTGTGCGACTCTATCGCGCTCAGACCGCCCTCCGCACTACTATGCACGAATACATCGTCAAAGTAATGGGGCGCGTAGGCACGGTGCTGACGCATCACGTGAGCCACTACTCGGTTGAATGTTGACGGAGCATTTTTCAACCCTTGTGGTATCACAAGCCACTCCCACAGCATACCGCTTGGGGTGCTTACTGCCGTTTTGGCTACATCGGTATCTCTCATGAGAATCTGATACTAGCCATCCTTCAGATCCAACGCGGAAAAGATAGTCGACTTTCCCATGGAATTCAACAAAACATCTTTCCGCGGGATCGTCGTCTGAGCCGGAATGGTGGCCGTGTTCAGCTTATTATAAGCATGAACCATGCTCCATCCTCCTGTTGCTTTACGCACACAGAAGGTCGGGCTGCAGTGAGGCGACTTGCTCTCACGTACATGTACCGACTTAGTTATCTAGTCGAAGAACTCATCGATGTAATCGACTTGTTCCTTCGGCAACGGCCATTGCCTGGCCACACAATACTTGGTGCCAGGCTCCAGGTCAATCTCGTGACTAATGCCCCTATCGGACGGTAGGCGGCTCGGCACTTCTGCTGGAAACACATCACGGTGTTTCCACAGAACATCATAGAACGGGCTGTCCTTCAAGGCATCCCAGCCTTGAGCAGCGAACCGTTTCTTTTTGTCGGTCTCCAAGACGCTCTCATCCATCGTGGATGAAGAGCAACAGTCCACCACGTTCTCTTCTGGAACTGGTGCGAATATCTCGTGGATCTTTCCTTCCTTTAGTTCGGACAGGAACAGATCCCACGTCATCTCCGAGAGATTTACTATCTCCTCGGAAGATGCCAAGACAAGTTGGAGCACCTCAACTGAGGATGCCTCCGGCATTTTGTCTTAGACGGCCTCGAACAACTCGTTCGTAGGTCCGTCCTCTTGGACCGAGACTGATCCAAGGGTCACTCGTTTCGACGTGCCCTTGATCGTCTTAATACGTCTGGTGCTCGTTCTTCGAGTAACCACGACCTTTGACCTGGAAGAAGGTGTCGTTGCTATCTCAGCTAACGCACTCCTTCCAACCGCACCAGGCTCTTGGCTCTGTGCCGGTTCTTGTGGCGCTTGACTTGCTGTCAGCCCACCATCAACTGCCACAGGCTCTTGGCTCTGTGCAGGACTATTGGACGCATGACTACCTGTCATCGCCCCATTCACTACACCAGTCTTTTCGACCTGGGTAGGAATATGTGTCACCTGGCTTTCCGCCAGTGCACTCACAACTACACCACTCCTTTCGAGCTGGGTAGTTCCTGGTGTCGATTGACATACCGTCATCGCACCCTCGACTGTGTTGGACACAGCATCAGTCACATAAGCCTCTCGCAAGAGCACATCCTTTCCGGTGTCTTGCGTAGAGCTAGCGACTGTGCGTGTACGCCAGTCTATCCATGGTTGGTGTTTAGCCAACCAAGGCATGCCTAGGATGAGTTCATATGGACTCTCCATACTTAGCACTGTGAACTTCTCTTTACAAGAGAAGTCACTGAAACTGAAGGCGAGTTCAACTTGAACTCCCTTCGATTTGACGAGCGCGCCGTTCGCTAAACGAACGATCGCCTCTTCTCGCTTGCCATCCTGGCAAAGCGACTCATAACTCGCCGGTCTCTTATTAGAGCCGCGAGTTTCACAAAGTTTTGTGATGCACCCGAATCCACGAGAAGGGTCATCACTTGGTCATAGCCTCGTACTCAAGCGCTATAGACCAAAAGGGTTGAGGTCCGACCTTTCGGAACCTCAGGGACTATGCTACCCATTTGTTCGATCACTCTGAACTTAGGGGTAGCTTCAGAGTCCGCGAAAGTAGGGCATCCCATCCCTACTGCGCTCCCGCATTTCCCGACCCATCTTGGGCAGGTGCTGAACCCGTGCGTCGTGCACGCTGGTTTTTCGCACCTCCCTTCGGGTTGGGAGACCTTTTGCTGGCTGCCTTAGCACCAGCAGCTACCTTGGCATAGCAGCGAGCCATCATATGGCCTCGCTTGCCGCACTTGTAGCAGATCACATCTGCATTGCCTAACTCCATAGGAGTGGCATCAGACTTCTCGGACGACGGCCTGTAATAGGCTGTCGCCGAGGCGCTGTTGTAGGATTGCTCCTCAACTAAGGCACTGTCAATTGCCTCTTCCATCGTCGCTGGCACCTTTCTGAAAAGGGCCTGATGCGATGGGCCATGCCTAAGTCCATTCATGAACGTGGCTACCTTGATACGCTCTGGTATCGGTTCCCCATTGATGGACGCCGACAGCGAACGCATCTCCTGCACAAACTCTTGCAGAGAGCGTTTCGCCTGTCGTGCTCCAAAGAAGCGCGCCATAAGCAACACTTCGTTGTTAGGCGGCTGATACATGGCGCGAATCTTTGACTTAAAGATCGCCCATGATGGAAATGCATCAGCATTAGCCATCAGCGCAGAGTATGCCCACTCTGACGCTTTGCCACGCAAGTTGGACATGGCATACGACACCATTCTGGTGTCGTCTTCGATGAGCTGCGCCACTCCACATTGCTCCACTGCTAATAGCCAGTGAACAATCGTGTGAGAGCTAGTTCCATCAAACTTCGGAGGGTCCATCCGAATGGGCCTCGGTTGAGCAGGCGGGCAGAGAGCGTCTCAACAGTCATGTTGAGCGCCTCATTACGTGCCTGCTCAAGCCTAAGCTCATCCTAAGTCTTAGTGATGGACTCAGCGGTGGCTTGGCTGTTTACCTCGGACGCGTTTCTACGCTGTCCGAGCACAAACGACTCAAATCGCTACAACTGAGCAACATGTTGCTCAGGAGGACAATGCAAGAGATGAACCAGGGCTTGTTCACCAAGTCCCTGCGCCATATGCTCTGCCAACTCTCTATGATGTTGGGAGAGGTGAGGGAAGTCACTCCAGTCCATATTAAGGACCATGTCAACCACACGCACGCTCAGAGAGACGGGTCGTGGGAAGGACTACGATTGCTACCAAGTGTAGACGGGCACTTCTACGAAGTTGCCTCGTACTACGAGCACACACCTTATGCACAAGCGAGGAAGCGGTTAGACCGTCTTACCTTCGCGTGCGAGGGTGGTTGGGAGGTTGGTCGACTGCTTAAGCAGTCGTACCACCAGTTGCCTCTCGCTTTAGCGAGAGTGCAACGAACTTCTTAACGCTTACAACACCGACGTCACGCAGAAGTTTCTCAACTTCTCGTGCGTGGTGTGTTTGTTTAAGTAAATTCAAGACTGAGATATATTTAATTAATTATAACTAAATATATGTTTAACTACTGATTGGCTATATATATATATTATATATTTATAGATCGGATACGCGACTCTTTAGAAGCGTATCCTGTCGCATGATCTTAAATCTAGATTTAAGATCGCAACTGACGTCCTTCTGAGACGTCGTGATGCCTAGCTTCAACTAGCGTCGTCCCTTCTTATGTGAATCCATCAATGGATATTACATTCACGAGGGTGGATCACATTTGTGTGTCGCACCCAAGTGACTGGTCAAAAGTAATCATGGATACTTTTAGACCAAACATTAAGTATATTACTTAATGTTTACGTGTAACTAGGTACCCTGTTACATACTCCTTGTATCAATGCAAGTATGTGTATCATATAACGAATAATCTCAATCACGATTACACATCTTGTCGTTGCAGCATCAGATTCAGTCAATTGATGTATGCCTGTCTCGATTGATTTTAAGGTAGCAAATCGGCATAAACACTTTTAGGATTGGTGGTAGGTTCTAGATGCAATATTGTTCGCGCTATCTATAAGTTGGATCCAATCTTATGAACCAAACGATACATTGATTTGTGAGCCACAGTCGGTGATTCCATTCTTAGTAACACTATGTTGTCTGAATGCCGCTTGCCAGCCAAATAAGGATGAATACTAGTTAACATCAGTCTTAGGTATATTAGAGATTATAAAGAAAATATAGATTTGGAAGCAACTGAGCAACTGAGGAAGTAGCACTTGTGCTACTTCCTACTTGCATCGAAGCACTAAAGCCTCAAGATGTGTGTATGTAGAGCAGCAGCGTCTTATTCCTTCCGATGTTAAGTCCAGTTATGGCAACCTCTTTTCGCCACTTAAAAACACTTGCGGTGCACGATCGACGGGCCCGATTCATCGTACTCGGCCTTCGAGATCCACATCTGCTGGAATGTCGATAACGACGACAAGATGGAACCACCAATCCACACCGAGTACTTGCGTTCAGGAGGGGCAACCACCTTGATCTTCATCGTAGACGGAGCAAGAGCCGTAAGTTCCTTCGTCATCCGTTCACCAACACCAGGGTACATTGTGGTACCACCCGACAGGACAATGTTGCAGTACAAATCCTTACGGATATCAACGTCACACTTCATGATGGTCTGGAATGTGCAGTCATGAATACCTGATGCTTCTTTTCCAATAAGTGACGGTTGGAACAGCACCTCAGGGGTACGGAAACGTTCATTGCCAATGACAATGACGTTACCATCTGGCAATTCGTAACTCTTTTCGAGTCCCGATGATTCAGCAGCAGTCTTCATTTCTTGATCAAAATCCAATGCAATGTACGTAAGTTTCTCCTTAATATCACGCACAATTTCTCGTTCGGCTGTCGTAGTAAACGAATACCCACGTTCCGTCAAAATCTTCATCATGTAATCGGTCAAATCACGACCTGCGAGATCCAGACGCACAATGGCATGGGGTAACGCGTACCCTTCGTAAATGGGTACAGTGTGGGACACACCATCACCGGAATCCAGCACACAACCCGTGGTACGACCCGATGCGTACAACGACAGGACAGCTTGGATGTTTACATACATGGCCGGGACATTAAAGGTCTCAAACATAATTTGTGTCATACGTTCCCGATTTGCTTTAGGGTTGAGGGGAGCTTCCGTCAACAAGACCGGGTGTTCTTCCGGAGCCACACGAAGCTCATTGTAAAAAGTGTGGTGCCAAATCTTTTCCATGTCGTCCCAGTTCGTCACAATACCGTGTTCAATGGGATATTTCAACGTCAAAACACCACGTTTTGACTGAGCTTCGTCACCGACGTAAGCGTCTTTCTGGTCCATGCCGACCATGATACCCAAATGTTTGGGACGGCCTACGATGGATGGGAACACGGCACGGGGAGCGTCATCACCGGCAAAACCGGCTTTACACATACCGGAGCCGTTGTCTACGACCAAAGCTTGAACGTCTTCGTCGGCCATTGTATAAGAGGAGGGAGTAGAGATGGAAGGAGGAGGAGGAGGGAGATCTGCGACCAAGTGGAAGAAATGAAAAGTGAGCTATGGGAGCAAAAGAGCCAGGGGATTGATACTTAAGATGGATGGGTCAGCCCTCCTATCGAATAGTGAAAGTGAGTGATAAGGAAGATGTCAACTGGCCTAGTGACGTGTCGTACGACTATATTGAAACTAAGTACTCCTGCGTCGCTGCTTCGTTTCAATTTGACGCTTTGCGGTTAAATGAGGTATGTACCTTAAATAGAGGAAATAAGCGGTGCTTGTTACTTCTAAGAGTTCTCGTTGAATAGATATATTTGCATGTATTTAGGCTACACTTTGCACTGGTAGCAGTTTATCGACGAAGTTGTCATCATTAGTATATGTTACAACACTTAACGCTATTTGATAGATAAGGAAGCAGAGGTACATTATAGTCACTCGCAATCGGGACTAGAAAGCCTCGTCGATATCGAATCGAGTTGTCGTAAGCCTCCGCTATGAAGCTTTCGCACGTCAGTGTCTCATAACAAAGATACAGATACGGATCATAAGGTTTCGCACTCAAAAAAGTGCTGGTACGTCAGATCGTGTGGTCAACTTTTACTTCAGTGGCTTTACTATTCTCTAAACCCGTATCGCGCTTGTCACTTGGTAACTGTAAGTGAGATCCCAACTTTCTAAACCCGTCTGGGACATCCTGGGTTTAAACTCACTGTACTGAATACAGTTCTAGCGATCCATCGAAGTTGAAGCTGTCTCATTTGAAGCCATGGCATGGCAGGCAATGATGCTATGTTCATGAGCCACGCACATTTTATATATATAGTATCTTGCAAAAGCAAAAAGTACAAAATAAGGCCTACATTTGCTCAATTATGCGTCCGTCTAAACGACCGCTCTGGAGTCTGTCATAAGCGTTAAATGCAACAAGACAACAACAGCAAAACATGTAGTGCTTTTCTATAGTATATAGCCACTTCAATCGGGACCTAACAATGACAATGAAAGGCACACTTCCAAGCATAAGCTTGTTGATCTATAGCTGTCTTAGCTGCAGGTGGTCCAGGTCAAATTAAAGTTTATAGACACGTTCCAACACAACCAGCTAACTTAGAGCCAATAATGTATGTGTTGGGACCAATTACTCTATGGAGATCCCATCATTTTGTTTTTATGGCGTGCAATCATCGTTGACGAGGACACGTTACTCTTGATTAGTGCTCTTTTTGTAAGGCCGATCGTCGAGCAGGCGAGCAAACGTCATCTTCACTAAACTCACCTGCATGGCGCAAGGAGCCTGACTGACATCGGCGACTTGCAATTGTTGTCACTTAGAGTATTGAGTCGAAGCTTTTGCATGATGGGCGCATTTTCGAAACGATTATTATGTACGTGTTCAATTCGAGTTGCCAAGCACTATCCATGCTCGTCTTCCACTTTCAAGCTGTTAGTAATTTAGCTCAAAATTCAAAATAGAAGGTTCCTCTGTTTTAACAAAGTTTCGCACAGAACGATAACTTTTGTTAGACATACACTCTAAAAATCACGTGCTACGCAAGCACACACCTTCGAGCAGCATGGGAAGCAATTAGACCGTCTTACCTCCGCGTGCGGTGGTGGTAGTGTTGGTGAGCACTAAAGCGCTGTATCAACCGCTGCCGGTCGCTTCAAGCGAACCGCGCAACAATTTCTAAGACAAGAGATAGTTCACTTACGACACGCAGAAAGCTTATTTAGCTTCTCGTGCGCATATACAATGTGTAGCAAATTCAAGACTGCTAATATTTAGTGAAATCTTATTGAGTAATAAACTTAATATAATAAATTTAACTACTGATTGGTTAATATGGAATGATGGACGCCATCTCTAATGATGCGCATCCCAAAGTGCGAACTTACATAAATATTAAAGCTCGCTTGATGACGTAGCTGACTGACGTCATTTAATGATGCCAAGTCCGAGCTGGGCGTCATTCCCATCAATGCGAATACCTCTAGTGTATATCACGTACCGTCACTAGCTTACACGCGCGCTCGAGGAAGACTCAAGCCCAAGTATTAGGTATTAAGTAAATTTAACTCTGATTTTTATTTTGGTTTTAATTCGTACTAATTACGAAGATTTTAGTCGTAATAAATACGACAGTGTTCCCGCCTTTCGGGAACCACACAATTTCAGGTTGATTTATCATTGGTCCATATTGGGGACTTTTAGGCCCCAATAATAAACCAATAATAAATTACCACGCTGTGCCCGCTATTCGGGCCCAGCACCTGCCTACATATGTAATTGTTTATTTATGTTAATACTATGTGTGTAATGTAGCCCATTACATCACCCCCTTCTCATGACAGCACTCACCAACCGTGAGTGCTCAACTGTCGAAAACCCGTCGCTCACAAACGAACAAGCAATGTCCGGAGACCCAACACCCAATCCAGCAGCACTCCCAAGAAACATCAGCGGGAGTGCAACAACCAGCATCATGGCGCGGCAGCTCATACCTTGGTCACTGTACGACTTGTCCGGAGCTCACGCTCCGGACTCACTGGACACGATGCGGGACTACTTCCGCCGATTTCGAAAACTGCGCGGGAAAGGTCTTGATGGAATCGAGCATGAAGCTCTACAACGTTCTTGGTGTGCCTTCATCCAACGTTGGAATCGGATGCTCGAGGATGGTAGCAGCTTCCAATTATGGCTCGCCAATCGAGAGGAGCTTCGCGCCGATCACTCCATCGGCGCGCTACGCGAAAGAGTGTGTGAGGATGCTTGGAATGAGGACCGCCTCTGCTTCGTCCATGTCAATGAAGGATGCCAATCTTGTGACTCGACTCCACGCCCAACTCATGACGAATGGCGACGACACATCGCTGAGTGTCCACTCAGTGATCGCGAACGAAGTTGGATTGCAAAGTATGAGCGAAGTCTGAGCGAACGGAGAAGCGCAGTTATTCGTGGTGCGCCTCGCTGGCAGCACCACTCGCGACAGCGGAGTCAATCTCCGCGGAATCATCAGCGCAGGGCAGCGACACGTTCGCCTGCCCGTCCTGCTGCGCGATTCTCGCCTCGCAATCGTGATAATGTATTCACCACGACGTTCTCGTTCACGGCATCGTTCTCGTTCACGACATCGTTCTCGTTCGCGTCATCGTTCTCGTTCTCGACGACGTGGATCTCCTTACCGCTCTCGTTTGTCACGAGAGCGTTCGCGTGCTCGCCCGCATTGGAATAGCCCGACTTCGTGGCTTCATACGACAGAACCACATCTGGAACGTCACGAAGGAGTGAGGAACGTGGTTCCCATGTATCCTGCTCGGGAGGGAATCCAAGCCAACGTACTCGGTACCTGCGCACGGATGGAACCGCGCGCTTCTCATGAGCCGACTGCAGTACTGGTTGTGGAGGGTCCTCGTGACCCACAATGCGGTCTACAATCCAGCGCACCTGTCCCTCCGCGTCAACAAGCGGAGGAGGGCCCTCGCGATGGTAGTGCTGGCGTCCTGGTTGCTCAGGACGATGTTGATCAGGCCGTGAACATAGCTGCCGATGCTCAGCTGGAGGCTGAGGCTGCCAGTGAACGTGCTGCCCG